TGTGTGTGTGTGTGTGTGTGTGTGTGTGTGTGTGTGTGTACCGGGGATTGAACTCAGGACCTTGCACTTGACAGGAAGGCAGTGGCACCACTGAGCTAAATACACAGCCCTTGTAGTTCCTTTCTTAATGTTTGTAAAATATCTTATTGTCTGTCTCCCCCTACTAGAACAATCCTCAGTCCAGAATTAGCATCCTGCCAAAAAATTGGCATCAGTGAATATCTGCTAAGTGATGAATGAATAACTGAATGAGTGGGGGGAAACAGTAGCATGTAAAGGATGGAGTGGCAAAATTAATTTTTAAATACACTAAGAGGTTAAGAATATATACTAAGTGGAGTTGGAATTATTTAGCATAACAAAAGGAACTTAAAAAGGAAAACTAGAACAGTCTTCAGCAAGAACAAAAACAGGTCTAATTTTCAACGGGGAAAAAAACCCACAGACTGAAAGAAGCATTCTCCACCAAAATGAGGTCCTAGAGAGCTCTGTTCTATCTCACACATCTCTTAATGTTCTGTGCCTGTCATGGCAAATGCCACAGAGGAGAAATGCATAAATACCTAGTGAATGGATGAATAAATTCTCCTAAGTATTATTTAATATTCTCCTAAACTTAACACTTTGGCTTTTATAAACAGAATTAATGACCCATTTAGCTTAGGTGATACACCAATTTAAAGGATCAATGTGGTGATTATGAAACTGATTTTTACAATAAAGATATCAGATCTTCCCATCCCAAACCAGCTATCTAGTACAACCATGCATGCTTAAATGCCCTCTCCAGCTCCTCTTCTTTAAAACCTCTACTGCCAGAGAACTCAACCTGGGACATCTCACTCTCTAAAGTTGAAAGTTCTCATTGAAAGTTCTTCTTTTAATCAAACGCCAGTCTATCTCCCCATAGCTACATTTATCTGACCATACAGAAAGAGCCAAGTCCACAGTTCGGAATTTCCAAGTCATCGGGGACTTCCACTCCCCCAGAATGCCTGCATGGAGGAAGGCGCTGAACTCCTGATCACACATGTTCTTCTTCATCCAAACCCCAATTGGTCCATCTCTTTCTTAAGATGCCCACAAAAACCTGAACTAAACCTAATCAGAATCACTTCATTTAATCTGGCTCACCCTTTCTGACTTGCTAAAGGCAAGTAATGCATCTGTAGGTCACAACATTTTCCTTTTGATGAGTAGAATGAGATTTCAGTCAATTAATGCATTTAAGTCATATTGAGCCCCTCCTAGTCAGGTTCCCAGATCCAATTCTGTGCATCTGGTTGGTTACCAGGACTCAAATAAGGCACCTCACAATATTCCAAGTATAATACATCTTGTTAGTCTATCCATCAACTTACTCCATCGAGATGCCTAATTCAGATGAACGTGTCTTTACATTTTCGTCAGTGGCTAATGTTAACCAGGAAAACCCTTAAGAACTTAAGAAGTCCATTACCTCACTTTCATTAGGCTTTGTATTATAACTCGGGGGGTGGGGTGGAAGAAGGAGCTTAATGAGTGGCCAACCCTATAAACCCAAGGAAAAATTTTTATGAGATTTGTTCCTGCTTTTAAATTAAGAGTGCTGGTATGTGTTGATCTTTTTGATGGCTGCCTGGTGCGTTTTGTATTTTAAACAGTGAGACTTGCAATTTTATAAGCACAATCAATGCAGCTGATCACTGCGTGAGTTATCATAGAAATGGTGACTCATAAAGTTCAATTTTTGAAAGCAATTTCTTAAAAAGGCTACATAATTTTCTACTTGCAGCTTTAACATAGTCATTTCATTTATAGCTGCTACTAAGTACCACTTAGAATTAAGACTGTAACAAATTGGAGGCAGCTGAACTTTAATTTATTATATTAATTTTTTCCTTAAAATAGCTAATGGAAAATTATGGCAAGCTAATAAATTTTCTGATAATTTTGATTTCTTAGGATTGTCATTATTATATGGTATTTCTCTAGATTCAAATTATTTTCTTCACACTTTGAGAACTCAGATGGTATGATTTTGAGACATCAAAAAAATGAAGAACACTTGTAATAGTCATATAGATATGTTTACATAAGTAATATATATATTTATCATACACATTTTATCTTCTAGGTTTTTATATCTCATAGCCACAGAGACACATATATACCTGTACATGTTTGCCTTATAGTATACTTTGTATACTGCATAGATGAGTGTGCTTTTAATCCCACAGCAGACGTCTTTGAACTCCAGACTGGGACCCGGTGGCTCCGACAGCATATAATTGAGCTGCTCGGTCCAGATGCCTGAACAGCCCACACTACATCTGTGATAAGGGATCAGTTAGCCTTTGCCTGCAACACTTTCACTGAAAGCGATCTTACCACTCCCTGACACACAGTCCATTCCATTTTGAGGTTTCTTTGGGATCTTTGCTTATAAAAACTTTTCGTAGAGGGTGGCTAATACAACTCCATGACTCTCCTTCCCTCTTTTCTCAAGGGTACTTTTCCTATCAATCCTCTTCTGCAGTTATAAATCTAAATAGCTTTGCCATTTCACACTAATTTGAATGTGAGCATCTGATTTTAAGATAATAGTCTGTTCGTCAAAAGTCTTAGACTTTTCATTAAAACCCAGAATGTATTAAGTTTTAGAATTCCTCTAATACTCTGAATTATGTCACCATAAATCTGATACCATTTGGACACAGTAGACATTCAGATGTTTAATTATCACAGACACTTGGAAATCGCTCTTCTGCTCTGTTGCCTCTCATTGCCTGGTACACTCAGAGAAACAAACTCTTAAAAGTAACAAAACTGATGCATGTAAATCTAAAGAAATATCATTGCAGTTCTGCAAATCTTTGAGACACCTTATTTGGGATCTAGGTTTTTTCTGCCTGAGAATTTCAAAGATTCATCCCAACAGAAACCACTGTTAACCAAGAATGCATACATGTCCTCCCAGTGGTGTCTATTCCATCAGAGGATGACACATATTAGCAACATCGGGGAGAACCTGCTCTCAGCAAAAACAGTAGGAAGATCCCAAAATATCCAATATGGATTACCTTGCATGCTAAATTCCACATTGCAAGTACGTGTGTACCACAGGCCCATTTATGCTATTCAAAGGTGCGAAAAATGATATGCTTCCAAAAAACTGAGTATGCATCTGAAAAATGTTACCTTCCCAAATAAAGATAATAGATTTTTTTCTATCTTTACTGCATGTTTGTTGCTCATCTCATATCAAGTGTTGTGTTGTATTATGTGCTTTATAAAGTATCCAGTATTACCGACCTTGATGACCAGATGCTGGCAGAAACAACGAAGGGCATGTGAGTCACAGCCAGCCGTGCAGTCCTTGACATCATGTATTTTTAGCCCCATGTTGCATAGTTGAGATTACCTTACTGCCAAGCTGGGTACACAGTGGATGTTTAAATTTATAATAATGAAGCCCTTACAGATTTCTGCAAAGAGTAAGTATGCTCAGTATTTTTAAGTGGAATTGATTATTAGGCCATTTTATAATTGTTGAGGTTTCCTCTACTTAAACGTAAAAAGATTCTGTAGAAACAAGTAATTTGTTTAATAAGCAAAAGAGAGGCATAAATGGAAGAAAAATGTACAACGGTGAGTGACTAAGAACTCAGATTCTGGAGCCAGACTACCCACATTTGCATGCTGATTCTGCCATTTCCCAGCTTTGTTACCTGGAAAAGTTACTTCCAACTCTGTGCTTCAGATTCCATAGCTGTAAAACTGGAAAACCTCAGGGGGTTATTGTGAGGAGTAAATGGCATAAATATTTGTGAAGTGCACAGAACAGAATCTGACATACAGTCACTACCTCTATACGCTTACTATTCTAACTAACCTACAACATGGCATAAAGAATATAAACTATGAAAGAGAAGCATATCCTTAAGAAGAAAATCATTATGGCCTTAAGGTATATCCATTTTCACACGAATGACTCAAGTTTATCTTTATGTTAGAGCAATACCCCAGTGCGTCTAAATGCCATGAGACACACAGCTTAAAGAGCACGTGGCTTCTCTCACATGAGAAACCCAAAGTATACATAAAGAGCAAAATAAAAGAGAGATAACAGGAAGTAGGGAGACAGAGCTTTCTCAGAGGGGGAGGGGATCAAGAGATGGAGGGGAATCTGAGTGTGGTGGCACACGCCTATATTCCTAGCACTCAGGAGGCAGAGGTAGGAGGATCGCCATAGTTCAAGGCCAGCCTGGGCTCCATCGTAAGTTCAGTGGCAGCCTAAACTGCATAGGGAGACCCTGTCTCAAAAAAAAAAAAAAAAAAAAAAAAAAAAAAAAAGGAGAGGAGGAGGAGGAGGGGAAGGAAAGGGGACAAAAAAGGAATTAAGATGTGTTACGTACATACACCAACTCCTCACAAGGAATGTAAATATTATGGCATACAGGTCCTAATTTTAAAAATCTAACCAAATCCATTTTATAATGTCTACTGAATACTTCCCAAGTGCCAGGGGATCTTCTAGGCATAGGACTAGAGCAGGGAAAAATATAGTTGAGGTCCCTGCTCATTCATGTAGCTTAAGGAGCAAAGAGATGGATAAATAAAGTGACAAAAATTAAAACTCAGATTATGCTATGAAGAAAGCAATGAACTCAGAAGCAATAAATACTTTGAAATTCTGTTTTAAGAAATGTAAAAGATTAAATACATTAAGAATATTTGTGTTGGTATGCTATAAAGGAATTAATTCCCCCTACACTCTTCGATATTCAAAACGAGTTTATATAGTGACCACTCTTAAGTCTGTCTGCAGCCAGGATTCACTAGAATCTGCACTTCCACTAACGGGCTTTTCCAGAAGTGACCGGAAGTCGCTTCCAGTAGCAACCCTGTGTGAAAAGCACGTGCTGCACAGCAGGAATTTCAGAATCTATTTGTCTAACAGATGGATCTCGGTCAGTGGGTCCCAACTCAACTGCTATTTATGTGACTTTTACAACCTTACTGAAATGTTCTGCTTAGGGATCACATGTTAAATCACAGAATCCTGTAATAGCAGCCATTAAACATCCATGTAAACTAAAATGAGGTTAAAATCGGCTCTATAAATAGGAATGGATGGGACTTAGAAAAATGCGTCACCGGCATGAACTTGCATGTCCTTTGTTTCTGCCATTTCACCAGTGACTCCTGGCAGTGTGTGCGCAGTTGCTTCCCATTTTCATTCAGTACTTAACACCCAAGACAAACAACTCTTATCAAATGCTGAATAACTGATGCGAAGTCACACGCTTGATCAACATCAGCAGCAATGATCCGTGCAAACCGCACCTCGCTCTGACGCTGGGAAACTTCCCGTGCGAAGACGCTGTCGATGGTGGCCGGCATCCGCTTGTAAAGAGAGTTGGAAAGCTCAGCCTTCATCCTGCCTTTGTATTTTGCCTAGAGCAGAAGGACAGAAAATAAATCCTTTTTTAACCTATTACTATAAGAAGAAAGTAAAAAGGAACTTTCTCTAGCAACAGAATTGATTTTAAAATCTTCAGAGCATTTTACTTTTATATACTAGATCCAATGAACATTTTCTGAAGATGGCAATAAATCCCATTTATTGTAGAGAAAGCTTTACATGAGATACGCAAGAATATAATGACTTTTTCTATTTAAACGCATGCACATTTCTAAAACTAAATCTACTTTGTGTATTCATGGTTCTGTGTGTGAAGAAATCACTGAGAGGCTTGAGATGTTCCAGAAAACCCATCATCACTGTCCAGACCTGATCACCAGTGGCTGGGGGGATACTCGGAAGGGCTATCGTGACAGGCTGGGTGACAGGTATGACAATGGGATCGCTTACACTGTTCTGGGTCTCTTCCGGCTCCATGGGAAAGCTTAGGATTGTTATCTCCCAAAATAACAGCGAGATAATAGGAAGTAGGGAGACAGATGTCAAATGGGAAGGGGATCAAGAGATGGGGTGAGCAGGGTGGGGATTTAGCTCAGTGGTTCTGGCACCTGCCTCACAAGGGCCCGAGTTCAATCCCTGGTACCAGAAAAAAAAAGAGATGGAGCGGGTGAAAAAGGAAAAAGGGACTGGGATGTGTTAGGTACACGCACCAACTCTACACAAGGTGTGTAACCATTCTGCACTACACACATACTAATAAAAGATAAATTTTTAAAACTTTAAAAATATAGGTAGCGGGACAGTTAGATAGAAGTAATTAAGCGTCAGCATTCCACAGTAGGATGGGGTGACTGAAGTTCACAGCAATCTGTGAAATATTTTATGAGAAACTAGATGAGAGGAGCTCAGCTCAAAACACAAAGTAATGATAGGAATGTGGAAACATTAATTACTTTAATTTGACAGTACCTATTGATACATGTATTGAAACATCATGCTGTACCCCATGAATATGTACAATTAGTACATGCTAATAAAAGTTTTTGATGTTTAAGGAGATGGAAATGTTAACCACCATGATTTAATCATCACACACTGTATATATGTACTGAATTATCACGCTGGTGCTGTAAATTTGTGCAATTAAAATAATAATGCTTTAAAAGAAGAAATGTGTTTCTTTATTCGAATCATCTCATCTCCCTGCAGGGGCAGTGGGGGGTGGGAGGTGCTCATTTTCTGTGTGAGCCTCCCCACCCCCCAGTCTGCACGGGCTCTGGGTGAGCTCCATCATTACTCCAAAAGACAAACACTCATTCGCTGTTTCCTCTTGGGGAAATTGGGTTCGAGGGAGTGTAATAGATCACACACATAAATTTTTGCTCTGCAGTTAACTCCTCAGGAAAATTAATCAATCACAGAGAGCAAGAACACCAAGAACTTCCCTACACAGAAGTAATGTAGCTTACTACAAATTAACAGAACCATATTCCTCCATACTCTGGAAGTCCTCGATGCTCCCCCCCACTCAGAGACTGATTTGAAGGTTTATGTATTGAGCATACACCCCACGTAAGCCTTCTGCCCCCACAATTCTAGAGGCTGGTAACAATTAAAGAAAATGTACTGATTTTCTCAAAATTGTCTCACATTAGCAGAAATAATGCTGAGAACGTCACACTGACCTTTTTCCAACTTTTTCCAACTTATGAAACACTAGAGGTCAGTCATTTACAATGCTATTTTATTAACTGGCTTTTTCACAGGCTACAATAATGCCTCTACATAGAAATTATTGTTAATATTATGCTTTACAGTGCAGCATAAACTTCAGTTCTAAATGATCTCAGAAATAAACTACATGATTTTTCAGCTGGAAAATGAAAACAGTGTATTTCTCACTTTGTGGTTTCATAACAGATATCTCTGTTGAGCTGAATTTTATCCCAATAAAAATAGTTCATATTAATTTAAAATTATTAGTCAAAGATACTCCATTTTATGAAATCAATTTATACAATTTATTTCCAAAACGAAATTCAATTGTTTATCTCTAATATATCCACAAGGAAAGCAGTAAGTTGAAATGCTTAAAGCTAACTATTCTGCCAGTGCTTTCTATCTGTTAAATAAAATTATCCCTTTTCAAGAGTAATTTTGTATAAATAAGAAAGGGTTGGAGTCAAAGAACAGACAGACTGGTTAATAAAATCTACTCAGATATACTAAAGTCAATTTACATTAGTTAATTAACATAGTACACAGAATTAGGTAAATTAGATATTACCAACATTCATAGGTTTTTATCTACATAAGTAGAAAAAGAAAAGCCATTTCTGAAAGTTTTGGGGATCTTACCTCAGAAATAAAAGCACCAATATTTTTTACATGGTTGAGCATAGGAGTGTCAGGCACAAATGTACACTTGTCCTTAGACTTTTTATACTCTTCTTTATAACGGATCTAAAAGAGAGAATGATTTACATAAGAAGACAAAGGAGAAAAACACTTGTAATGGACTTTGCTAAACAGAGAATTAAGTTGATAAAGTCTATTTGCCTAAAAGAATATTCAAATGTGGAATAATTCTCAAAGCAAACTAAGTCAATTCCACCCAGCTACTCCCCTTCTGGGCATCTTCCTGAAAGATCATCATACTATACTGATCCATGCACACCCATGTTCACAGCAGCACTATCCATAAGAGCTAAATCTTAGAAGTGGCCCATACGTCCATCAACAGACAAATGGATAAAGAAAATATTTAAACACAGTGGAGTGCTACTCTGCTACAAAGAGTCATTTGTAGGATGCACCACGAAAACACAATGTTTAATGAAATAAATCAAACACACAAGCTTAAATACCGCATGGTTTCTCTCTTATGAGAAATCCAAAGTATAAATAAAGAGCAAAATAAAAGACAGATAAAAGGAAATGGAGACAGATCTACTGCAAATGGGAAGGGAACCAAGAGGTGGGGGGAGGGAGACAGTAAAAAGGAATTAGGATGTGTCATGTACCAAACATCCACACTGAAAGCAGTCATTATGCATCACAAACGTACACCGATAAATGAATTTTTAAATGGAAATCCAGCACAGAACCGCAAAAGCAATGAGGCCTAGTGAGGAAAGACTACTTGAATAAGCAGGCGTCCCATGGCTGTTAGGAACACTGACTCACAGACCACAGGACCTACTTGCTGCAAGAAACCATCCAACAAGCTCCATCTCACCCACCAGGGCCCTAGTTCATCGTTACTTTTAAACCAGTGACTTTAACAGTTAAGTGCACGGTCAAACAGAAAGAGCTGTCTACCTCAAGGCAAAAACTAGGCAGCCATCAGAGCACGTGTGACACACGGAGAGGCAGAGGACGAAACAGTACAAAGGGAGACTGGATTTTCATCCTGCCTCTAGGTGCTAGGTGGGAGGGAGGGACTCAGGCTGTCCGTCATGGGCTTTGTTACTAATCCACTGCTCCACATCAAACCTGCCCAATTTATGAGCACCTCTCACCTCCCCACAACAAGAGCAGAATCAGCCCAGAAAGTTTGCCAGGTGGAGATTAGTTGCCCACTGGCTGCCACCAGGCAGATCATTCAGAGGAAGCCCAGAGGGGCTTAGCTGAGCCTGCTCACTTTTTCCCTGGAATTCAGGAGTGAAATGCCACACTCCCTCCTCCGGGGGTAAGACCTAGCATGAATGCAGTCACCAAAAAAAGCCAGGAAATAAGGAGTAGGACCCAACACGGCATCCCGTTGTCACACTAACTGCTGCACAATCTGAAAGCTGGGGAGGCAAAACTCAGGACAAGTCAAGGGAATGGAGATAACTTGCTATAAAATTTGTATCGCCCTGTAACACAATCATGCTCCTCTACCCAGGACTATAAATACTTCAGCTGGGAGGAGCATGGCTCCCATGATAAAGTACACAGTCTCCCTAATGATGACCAAGAAGGGACTGGTAATTGTGTGTACCACCTGGTCCTCAGAGGACGCCATTGACACTGAGGCTGCGTTCAGTGCGGATTTCACCTGACCGGAGCAGCACGACTTGACCCGAGGTGTAACCAGGCACAGTCATACTAAGTGAAGCTACTTCAGGATTCCCTGTCTCACTGCTGCGACTCTTAGATATTAATGCCTCCCACATTAAACTCTTGCTTTATTCATGAAATCAACACGAGAACATATTTATCTTATCTGAGCACTAAATTACTTTTTTTTTTTTCTTCTCAGAGATTAGCCATAATTTTAGGTTCCTGCAAATCGCCCTCCTCAGTCACTAGTAATTAAATCCTTAATGGCAGTGTGATAAATAGCAGGCTGTTTTGATCATAAGGAGAGAAAAAGTTTCTCCATTATGTAATTAAGTGTGAGAAAAAATAGCCTATCATTAGGCTTAAGTTTGACTCATTATTTTTATCTGTTGCCACCATCTTTCCCCCCTCAAATCCACATTCTTTAGTGCAGTGAAGGGTGCTAGTGGCCAGGGCCTCCTGATAAAGGCTGACAGAAGCAGAATGTGCCAGACAGGAGGAACAGATAAAGCTGAAGTATTTACTTCCTTTGCAACGAGGCAAATAGTTCTGTCTTAATTGCAGATTTCATGACTTTTTTTGGCCTTCCTTTTAAAAAGAAGTATCTTGTATCTTTACATTTCAGTTGTATCTAAAACCCGTTTGCTGCAGTTTTATAAAATTCACTGGCCGTCGCACACAATGACTGGGTGGACTTTCTGCGGAATGTGTATGTATGATTCCTAATGAATTTTACAACATGAATGCCAATGAGGAAATGAGCTTAAGTTTTTATAGAAATAAAGGGTATTACGTATTAGTAGAGTTTCTAAGCAAGGATAATAGGAATTGGGTTGGTCAACCACATAAGGTTTAGGTCAAATAAAAATCACCAGATAGGTGGCTATTTCCTACTATGACAATGTCTACATTTTCAACTTAACTTTGGGCTGGCAGCATCCACCGCAGAGACCCCTTCACTTCTACTAATAGAAGCCAAAAGGGTTCCTGAAAGTGGTCAGGTCCCTATCCCAGCCCAAGGCCAAACTGATCTACATTTGGCAGGTTCCCCTCATTCTCTTTGGCCTGTGATTGGCCCAGGGAGGGGAGGCACCCAGCTGTAGCAGGGAGGCCAGAGGGGAAGTCTTCTGGAGCATTGCTACTGCTCCCAGATAAAGAGGGAGACTGAAGCCGGGTGTGCTGGCTCACGCCTGTAATCCCAGCACTCGGGAGGCTGAGGCAGGAGGATCACTGTGAGTTCGAGACCAGTTTGAGCTACATAGTGAGTTCCAGGTCAGTCTCAACTACAAATTGAGACCCTTTTTCAAAAAAAAAAAAAAAGAGAGAGAGAGAGAGACTCCGGACAGCCTCCAACACCTTGTCCTTCTACCTTTTTCCTTCCCCAGCCTCCCCAGTGGCAGCAGTGATGTCATCACAGGGCAACAAGCCATCACCACACCCACGAGAGGAGGACGGGAGCGGGGCGAAGGATGACATCCACTGTACAGAGCCTCAACCCCTACCGCCACACTTCCCATGTGAGGGGAGAAACACCCCAAATGTCCCCTTCCTAGATCAGCATAATAGATTTTTTCCTGCTACCTACAGTCATCTGCACTCATGAACAACACAGAGCCCAACATACATTCCAATTAAGAAGGGAAGGAGGCAGAGCTGATGACGTGTGACCAACACGATGCCCCAAACATTTACCTTCTCCTTGGCCATCCCCATGAATCCCACAAGGTCTCAACTACAGTGAAAGTTACACCAGTTCAGGGCTGGGTCCCGCTCTGGCCAAGAGTCTTTCAGGGGTAGGAGATTGGCTAACCGCCGGAAGTGGATGCCAGACGTGGTAATGTTTGAGGCTCTTTCCTCTTACAAGCATTTTTAGCTGCAAACATCGAGAAAGGCTTTTTTTTGCAAGTGAAACCAGACCGGTTAAGTTCAGAAAACCCTGGAAGAAGGAACTACAGCTCCATCGTTTCGGGTTTACTGGGCAGGTCGTGGCGCAGGCCGCACCCCCAGGCTTTCTAACACAGTGTGGGGGAGCCGCGGAGAACTCGCTGTTGCACTTTGGGGGATTCATCCATAATGATGTTCACTTGCCTGCATGTGCCCACTACCATGCAAGTGAACATCCTAAAAAGCTTTGAACAAAGCACTGGGCCAGAGGCTGAAGTGGATGCAAACCACCTTCCTCCTCAAAGGCTCTTTATGCCTCTTTTATAGGAAACCTACGAAAGATTCCTTTTACTTCACATTTCTTTATGACCTCCTGTCAGAGAACTACCAGCTCTGTGACTCGAGATGCTCAACAGACTGGGTAGGTTTAATTCATGCAAGGGACTGACTGTGTGTTTGGGAAATGGCCAAATATCAGAGCTTAGCTGGAGAAATAAAAAGGGTTAGGTGGTTAACAGAAGAGGCTGCGGTGGAGGACTAAATGTCCTTCAGGATTTGGAAGAGAGTCGTGCAGAGGAAAACCCCATGATGTGGCAGAGCAAGTGCAAAGCAGGAACTGGACGGGAGAGGAGAGGAAAGGGTTAGGAGAGGAGGGGAAGAGCAAAGGATAGAAGGTGGGGGAGAGGGAGGAAACAGATGCCAGGAAAAGAAAGAAAAACTGCCTCATACTGATCCCAAAGTGAAGCCACTTGACCTGAGAAGCTGCCATTTCTCTCTGTGGAGAATTGTGAATGGCGCAGGCCTCCCAGGACTGATCTCCGGGCCAATCTCACTTAACATTTCTATTCTGCCTGCCACGTGATGACACAGAAAGGTCCCAAGCCTGCAGATGCCCCCAGCTCTCTCAGAGAGTCAAATGACAAGCTGAAAGAGATGAACCCCAGAAGTTGTCAAAGGCCAGGCGAGAAAGCAGAAAACCACAGATTGCATCTGAGCCTCGTGAGGTTAGAATAATTCAAACTACTACCGAAAGCCGGTGGGCCCACGCTGGCAGCTACGGCAAGATAGCAGGACAGAAAATGGCTCTGACGTCGGCCCAACAGCTCTCCTCAGCCCTCAAATCCAAAAAAACCCCAAACGGTATCACAACCCATGCACACGTAATCCAAGGCCCTCCCCAGCTGGTTCTTACACCCCGAGAAGACTTGGGAGGCTGGAAGAGGGCCAAGGAGGAGTAACTACAACGAGAAGGATGTGCAGAAAGGCTGCTCTGGAAGGGAAACCATCAGACCACCTTTCTCAGCTAACAAACGAGGCAGAGGGGAACTGCCGGGCTCTGGGACGTAGCTGGACCTCTGTGTCCTCGACCTTGTACCCATGCCTACCTAGCCCAATCACCTGACAAGCCACTCAGCCTGGGCTCTCAGAACCTAGGGCACAGGCTGCAGAGGCACCCGATGCAGAAACATTCGTGCAGCGTGAGAAAGGACAGCGCAGAGGCCAAGGGGGAGGCCAGGCCCACCTAGATCAAGTCCCAGGGAGCTGGCCAGCTGAGTGACTTGATCTGAATGTCCCTAGGGGACATCTGAAGATCGGCCTACGTCTGAGGCTGGGGGAAACTGAATCAAGTGTGTGCCACACTCAGAAATATTAAAGAGAGTTCCTAGACTGGAACCAAGGTCTAACTCAGTGTGGCAATGCATAAACTTTTACATCTCTTTCACTCCAGTGATTGATGCATTTTAAACAACCAGCTAGCCATATGATAACACAGAGAACAGAGATAAGAAATTGAAATTTGGAAACTGTATGAATTTGGGAAAATTTCAAATTTAAGTTAGTCTGTGCCATATAAAAACATCAAAGACACTGAGAAAGAAGCAGCAATTTGTTACTTAAGAATATGATTTAACCAAACTTCGAAAATGTTGAAGATTTCATTTCATGTCCAATACACCAAATTCTTCTGGTAAGAATCAATTCAATTGGTTTCAAATGATGGTACAAACTTCCCTTCATTGTATTTTTAGAAAGAAACAAGTAATTTTTTAGACTCTTCATTGATGAATGTAAAAATTCTAAAAATTCAGTGTCTTAGTAAGTATAGAATTCTATTTGGAAACAAAATATGAACATGCACATGGCTATAAATTAAGCCACAAGAGTCATGTTAAACATTTAAGTACTGCAGGCACTCTGCCACGCAACATAAATCTACAGAGGTAAAGTAGAACTTTCTCCCATGTGTTACATTTCATCCAGAGGGGAGGGAAACGCGTGACTTTCGCTTTTGCAAAATGATAAAAGCCATCGCTCCTGGCTACAGGTTAGTTTTAAAGCCACCAATAAGTGATCTTACCTGGAACAACTCCAACAAATCACCTATGAACTAACATTACCAATTTAGCCCTGACACATGTAATACAATGTAGCCCAACAATAATCATGCTTAAAAAAAAAAACAGATCAAAGCTGGAGAAGCACTACTTCCACAGGTAGGAATCTGACGCTTTTTTTCCCTCCTTTGCTAACAGTAGTACATAAATAATTATAAAGCAAGATAAACTCTGCGTGAAACCCTACAATAAGAGACGGCACAGCAGCACAAAGGGAGAAGACTTCCTGCTCCCGTCCTGCTCCCGCTCTGCGTGCTCCTACTTCAGGCAAGTCTCCCGGCCTCTCTGTCTCTTCGCTCCTCAAATGGGCACCGAGGAGAATCAGCCTCCCAAGCTGCAAGGCTTGACGTGTGGCACCTCAACGCGCCTTCACTGTCGTTAGCGACGTTCCGGTCGCCCCATCGTGTCATCGTGACTGGGTTTACAAAGAACTTGCACACACCTAAGTAGCTTATTACTGTGATGAAGTAACAGCACACTGAAATATTTCATTGAAATTTGACTGCATCGTACGTCAAATATATGGGAAGAAGTTTGATTCCCACCACCACCCTTTGGTTCTTTCCGACAAGCCAGAAAGCATACAACAGGCATCTGAAAACCACGACTGGAATCATGCAACGGTCAGTCACAAACAGAGTAGCGAATACCAAGCAACATTTACTGAGTGCTCATAACGTGCCAGACAGTACTCAGCATTTTAATAATAACCTTCTCAAGGTTACTGTCAAGTTATCAGGTTGACATCACAGCACCTGCCGGCACACCACCCCACTTCCCAGGATGAGTTTCCTTTGAAAAACAAGCATTTTTCAAATATTCCCATCACTTTGCTTGTGAACACTAACCAATACAACCCAGTACTTTACTCGTCTTCCTAAATGAAGACATGGGCACACGTTCACTTCAGGGACTCAATTTCCACAATCCCAGCTCTCTTTCAACTGTTAGTGAGAATGGCTCAACTCTCATCTTTGGTGAGTAAAACTTTTCCATGTGCTTCCAGACTTGTAGTTTACACACTTGCTATATCTGTGTGCCTGTGCACGTTAAATAGCTCTAGGATTCCCTTGAAGTGTAATACAAACTAAACCAACTTACTAAAACAAAGTCATAACAAAAATGCACCCTTCTCTAATATCACCTAGATCATGGTTCTTAACGTGCAGTTCAGTGATCCATGAATCCTAAATTCTGAGCACATGATACACCCATATGGGTATAGGCACTCATCAGATTCTTCAGATTCTTCAAAAGGCCCTCCACATCCATTTAAATAGATGTTTCCAAGACAAATCACATCATTACACTAATTTTAATGTCTTTGGGGTTCTCAAATGGAACATTCTCTGCAATTTAATGCCTTATGAGTTCATACCAGAATAACAACAAAACTCACAAGAGACAGGATTCTGGAGTAAGAAAGTGATTTCCAGCAGAAATTCTCCGTATAAGTGACCTTGGGGAAATCATTTAAAATTTCTGGACTTAGTTCCACGATCTGGAAAATAATTGTGCTTTAATAGATGATTTCAAGATTGTCTCCCCAGCTCTATGACTCTGTGAAATCACCATTCCACACGTGCACTGCAAACAAAGACAAAGTCATGTAGGCCACTTACATCACTAATGAGTTCAGTGCATTTTCTGGCCAGTTCCATGCTTAGGTCTTCAATAACAGGCTTAAGAAACACCTGTTTGGAGAAAAAGGAAAGGGACTATTTTTGACCTCGTCGATTATAGAAATAGATACTGTCCTTGGACAGGTGCTTCCTTGCTTACCTTGTCTTCTTCATGTTCTTCTGCTTTTTCCTCTCCAAGTTCATCCTTTACATCCTCAACTACAGGAACCTTCATTTTTTACCCTGTCAAAATATTTATATTTTAAAAGTTCATTAGTGTGGCACCCTTTTAGGGACCACAGCCCCCTTGCGCTCCCAATGTCTCTGCTGCTTGGGCAGGAGTGACCCTGCCGGGCTTCCCTTTGTCTGCCTGACTCCCTGGCTCACACTTCTTTCTCCTTATCTCAAAAGCTGTGAGTGAATGGTCTACGATCCCCAGGGCTGGCCAGGGTCACTCTCACAAGTGACAATGACATTTTCTCTCAGGCAAAATTCACTTCCAAACTAAGTCAACATTACTTAAACTGGTTAAGAACTCCAAAAGAGAACATTTACTTATCTTTCACTAATTCAATGCATTCATAAAATGGTTTTCAAAGGACTTAAAAGATTCTAGGAAAACTACTCAGCTAACACACTCAAGTTATCAGAGCCCAAAGCCTGTTATCACAAAGATTCCTTACTCTATCTAAAAAAAGCCTTCACTGGAATGTCAGACATAACTCCGATTCTGTATAACACACCAGATCACTAAACTCATTTCATTAACATAAATTAAATATTTTATGAGATATACACGTACTTCTCACACCCTAAAAAAACCTGCTTTAATATTAGCTGATTAGAGGTTAGTAATTTATTATGAAAAGCCCTTTGAGCCACTTCAAAGGACCCATTCTGAGTTAATTATGACTGCTGATCTTTTATTAGGGACTACTGTATTATATTAATTGTAAACATCATTAAACATGAGAAGTTGTGGTTGATGTGCTGATATATCATTTAAGAATTCTAGAAACATTACTGGTTCAAAACAGGACCTTCTTCATTGTGTCAATTTTTATTAATTTTTATTTGTATATTCTTCGATGCATACCATCCACATGGAAAAGTTGAAAAAACAAGTTTTCTTATTTATTTGTGATATGTGTCACTAGTTATATAATTTAAAATATATTTTTTACAACAAATTTCTTTATTGTCAATTTAGGTAATTCTAAGACTACATAACTCATGATTTATTAATCTGGTTATTTAAATCCTAGGGTAAATTTTCTTTTTAAAACCACTCTACATCAGTGCTAGACATAAAAAAATATGCTATGGTGAATAATAAAATTAATCACACTAAACACACCTTTAGGCAAAATAATAAATCACTGTAAGAAGCCAAGTATTATACTGTTTTCGCTCGAGAGCCATATCTGGTTTTCAATATATTTAAGAAAAAATGTCTTGGCCTTATCAAAAGTGAAAATTCCAACAAGAAAAAAATTCTACAGAGTCATTATAAATAGATTATTCCCCAACTTATGTTCCATAAGACAAAATTCCACAAAATATTTGGCAAGAAGAAAAGCAAGCTTCTTAAACAAGCCTGTTTGGGAAACCTGTATGGTAATCACTCCCACTTAGTAATCCACATACCATACTGACACACTCAAAGTTATAAAAACATTCTCAACCAAAAATCTATCTCCCAAATGTGAATCCTACCCATTCCATCTCCTCTTCTCTGTTTACCATTGTTTTGGGTTTTCTTTTTTTTTTTTTTTTTTTTTTCCGGGGTTAAAACTTTTTGTTTTTTTTTTTTTTTTTTTTTTTTTGGTTCCGGGGATCAAACTTAGGACCTCGTACTTTCAAGGCAGGCGGCAGCCCCACTGAGCTAAATCCCCGGCCCTACCATTGTTTTTAATGACAACCACAAGTCTAGAAAACTAACATCCTTCTGTGCACTATTACTTAGGGAAACACTGCTCTACTCTGACGAATGACTATGTTCTAAAGAGTTGCTTGTCTTGCTATGGAAGCTTTTGTTACAGGTTAAATGACATCATGGCACCAGAGATTTAGCTTAGTGGCACTGCACCTGCCTCGCAAGCCCAACGTCTCGAGTTCGATCTCCAATACCCACTCCCCCCAAAAAAAACTGGCTTTGAAACAAAATACCAAAAAGAAACTGTCCCAGGCCTGCTGTATTCGGAAAAGTTAAGATAACAGCCTTGTTGCGCTTCCTGCCCAGGATGGCAAATTCTTTGTGCACTGTAGTTGTCCCATAAAGGGAAGGAGGAATGTGCAACTCTGATTGTTTCCCTCTGTCAGAAGCCTTTTCTAATATATTACTCAAACATTCTATAGAATTGTTATATTATCTTTACGAAGGAAACAATTTGTATGGAGGAACAATTTCTATAAACTCTTCTTGCGATCCCCCAGAAGTACAGACAGAAAACCATGCCCGAACAACCCAAGACGCAGCTCCTGCCTCGTATCCAAGATGGCAATGCTTGCATTCTCATGAGCTGCCTACGCCCCAGGGCACAGGGCCTGTAACGGCCTGAGCAGCAGCTCGCTTCTCATCTCCCATCACACGAGGATGCCTATCCACTCTCCACTGTGCTGGAAGAAAACAATCTGTGGAGATTAAACGCACAAAAATTGGAAAGAAAAAACAAAAATCACATGTAAGGTGAACCCAGTTTCCACTTGATTTTTCCTTTTCTTAGTGGTGCTCAGGATTAAACCAGGACTAGCCCTTTTTATTCTGAGACAATTGCCTGGGTGGGATGTGGACTCCTGCCTCCACCTCCCAAGCACTAAGAATACAGGCATGCAAAATTTCCATGTGAGATTTGAGAACCAGAACTTTAAAGCCAAAGACATCCTTAAGAAATCAATATACCTAAAGCCCTTCTCACAAAAGATAAAATTAAGGCCAAGAAAAATTAATTATCTGTCTCATTTGCAAAGTTATCCAATGACTCTTAGTTCTGCAAGTTAGTGTACTGCTGGCTTATACTTGGTGTTGGAGAAACAATGGTGAATAAAACACGCTCTGTACTAAGATTAGGTAGGAAAAAAAAAAAAAAAAAGAAAGAAACCAGCATTCAAAACTTGCTGGATGAACTCTAATGGATTGTCTGGCAAGCCCACATACACCATTATTTTTGATTGAATACATCTTTTTCCCTTCACCTATAATATAAAATTCACATCAAGATGTCTCTAAAAAATTTTAAGCCCTGCAATTTATCACAGCAAAGCTGTTCTGTCAATAGTGCTAAAATCTAACGTGGGGGATAAGAAAAAAGTCATCTTCATGGATAGTTATCATGTTTCAAAATTTGCTATCATTTTTCTAAAAATAAAAAGTTTAATGCTATATTCTAATACATACATATTTTCCACCTCAGGGCACCCCAAAGGGCATATCTGTATAGTTGCTAATCCCCATGACTTACAGGCCCTTCATTTAGGTTGTCTACTTTTTAAACTGTGTTCCTCTGCTCATGCCATACCATGGAATGAGACCAAGATGACGATCACACGGTAGCAAAAGCCTTGATATCCACGGCCAGCTCTACTCTGTCCTCTAGGGAGAGTTACTTAATCCCTCTCTGCCTCTAATTATGCGTAAACAGAAAAGCTGAATTTCCAGAAGTTCTTAAAAGGAAAGTACGGGGATAATTTTCAACTACCCAGTAAAGGTAACAATTACAAGAAAAGCCCTTGATATGCAAGGGTCCTCTCACTGGAATGGGTGACACTCCGTGTCATCAGTCTATCTTTTCAAGGCAAGAGGGGCCTCCCTAAAGATAAGAGCTAACTTGTGTATTCAAGATACTGAAGGCTGCCGATCTTTTTATAGTTTAATGCGTACACGCAAGCAAATGTATTTCCATAGCAACAGCCACTCGCAAGGCAAACCACCCTCACAAGCCACACCCTGACTGGCTGTCCTCAGTGTCCTTAAGGTCACAGGAACAGGGATCTGCTGGTTCCTAACAGATGTTCCCTACTCATCTCACCTCTTCCTCCTTTCTCGTCTTCATCGTGACAGGACATGTGCCTTTCCCAACAGGGTGCCCAGAGACTTGCAAATGAAAATTCCGTAATAAACTACTGAACAGAGCGAGACTCGCTTCTCAGTTGAGGATGGGGGTATCCGCCTGAAATAGGGCACTGAGTACGCTGAGTGCTTCAGACTGGAGTGTTAGGCAGTGCTCACTTTGGCAGCATATACACTAAAACTGAAGATAGCCGGGGATCCTCAGACACAAACAGCCTCTGCTGTGAACTATTTTTTTTTTTAACCTGAAGTGTGGATTTGCCAGGTGATAAACAATTTCCTTTCATGCTCTCTGTTCTTTCATCAACCAAACTTATATTACAGAAGAGACTGAGAGTTAAACATCACACCCAGAGCCTACATAAACTTTGTACCAAGCTACTGTCATTCTTGTCTAAAATTTCCTAGATCTCCCACCTCCCTCACCCCTAGGAAGAGGGTCTGTAAGCCTCTAACCCTGTCCTACAGGGCCCCTGAGCACACAGTAAATGCTATGCCTTTTCTCTTGCCCATTTGTCTGTCAGTTGATTTCAGCAGATTCAATGATGAAACCTTCAGAGGTTCCTCTGCCCCAACAAGGAGAACCTAAACATAAGGTGAGTTGATCTTATTCAATATTTCTTATTATTAAGAGACTAGGTAAAGAGAGGAATTGATTTGCCTGATTTGTTTCCCTGTCCTGACAGGTTTTTCTCACTCATTTTGAGTTGCCTAGTTTTTTTTGTTTTGTTTTGTTTTTGGTACCGGGAATTGAACTCGTGTCCTTACACTTGCAAGGCAGGCCACCGGCCTAGTTTTTTTTGTTAATGACTCTCTCCCAGAAAGTTCTTGCTTTTCAATCAAACCCCTGGTTGTTCTACCTTTGCCTCATATTTATGCATTGTTTGGCATCTGCCCCAAAAAAAACTTATTGAGAGATGAGTGGGGGGGTGGGGACTTAGCTCAGTGGTTCGGTGGCCTGCCTCGCAAGCGCAAGGACCCGAGTTTGATCCTTGGTACCAAAAGAGAGAGAGAGAGAGAGAGAAGAAGCGGGAGGAAACATGAAATGTAAGCACTCTAGGGCAAACTGTCTTCTTTATAAATGAAGAGAGTTCTGGTTAATACTAGCCCCATGATTTGTTTTGTTTTGGTTTCTGAGACAAGGTCTCTATGTAGGCCAGCCTTGAACTTGTAA